ACCAGACTTTAATAATATTAAATTAGTGCTTACCAACATAGATTCTCTTGCACCAGCCCATAGATTGTAGTGAGGGGTGCCAGTAGTCAGAATGCAGTTTAGAGGCTTCTTCTCAATTATGGAAACTAATCTTCATTGCAGTTGTAAAAAGAGCATAGATAGTATATCAATAATCTAATTAAATGTAAATATTTTACAATAGTTTTAGAATGTGTGCCACAAAATATTAATAGGATGTGCCATTTAATACATGTCGTCACCTGATATTTGTGCTCTTTTGTGTGTGTTTTGTTTCTAATAAAAACAGCACAGATGGGTGTAGGAGAGGGGAAGTCGATTGGAGAATGGTTTGGACCAAATACAGTTGCACAAGTGCTAAAGTAAGCAAAACATACATATGTATTTAGCATGTATTTACCCTGAATAGTTCAATTCAGATGCAGCGTAGCTGTCTAAGAGTGATGACCTTCATTTCTGGATTTTGAAACAATATAAAGTTTGGAGGCGTTGGCTTAAATCTATGTGTAGTCTGAACTGAGGTCCTGCTTTTACTCAACTATATACAAGGATTATTTGAGTCACAGAAGTCACATGACTTGTCCATGTCCGACAGGGGCATAGGTTGGACTGTCCCTAAATCAAACACGTGAGATACGTAAGAAAAATAATGCATTTCTTCTACAAAAGTTTTATATGAAAAAAATCATGTTTATAAGTAGGTTAATTTTATTTATTTATATATACTGACAGTGTAGAGTGATAAAACAAATTATTAGGGCTATCGATTAATTGCAGTTAACTCACGTGATTAACTAAAATTAATTGCGATTAAAAAAAATAAATTGAGATTAATCAGTTAATTGCACTGTTAAATAATAGAATACCAATTGAAATTTATTAAATATTTTGGATGTTTTTCTACATTTTCCTATATATTGTATTCTGTGTTGTAATTGAAATCAAAGTGTATATTATTTTTGCTTTACAAATATTTGCACTGTAAAAATGATAAACAAAAGAAATAGTATTTTTCAATTCACCTCATACAAGTACTGTAGTGCAATCTCTGTTGTGCAAGTGCAACTTACAAATGTAGATTTTTTTGTTTGTTACATGATTGCACTCAAAAACAAAACAATGTAAAACTTCAGAGCCTACAAGTCCACTCAGTCCTACTTCTTGTTCAGCCAATCACTAAGACAAACAAGTTTGTTTACATTCAAGGGAGATAATGCTGCCCTCTCCTTATTTACACTGTCACCAGAAAGTGAAAACAGGCATGTGCATGGCACTTTTGTAGCCAACATTGCAAGGTATTTATGTGCCAGATATGCTAAACATTCATATGCCACTTCATGCTTCGGCCACCATTCCAGAGGACATGCTTCCGTGCTGATAACTCTCATTAAAAAAATAAGCATTAATTAAATTTCTGACTGAACTCCTTGGGGCAGAATTGTATGTCCCTGGCTCTGTTTTACCCGCATTCTGCCATATATTTCATGTTATAGCAGTCTCGGATGATGACCGAGCACATGTTGTTCATTTTAAGAACACTTTCAGTGCACATTTGACAAAATGCAAAGAAGGTACCAATGTGAGATTTCTAAAGATAGCTACAGCACTTGACCCAAGGTGTAAGAATCTGAAGTGCCTTCCAAAACCTGAGAGGGATGAGGTGTGGCGCTTGCTTTCAGAAATCTTAAAAGAGCGACATTCCGATGTGGAAACTACAGAACCTGAACCACCAAAAAAGAAAATCAACCTTCTGCTGGTGGCATCTGATTCAGATAATGAAAATGAACATGCTTTGGATTGTTATTCAGCAGAACCCGTCATCAGCATGGACGCATGTCTTCTGGAATGGTGGTTAAAGCATGAAGGGACATGTGAATCTTTAGTGCATCTGGCATGTAAATATCTTGCGACGTTGGCTACAACAGTGCCACAAGAACGCCTGTTCTCACTTTCAGGTGACATTGTAAACAAGAAGTGGACAGCATTATCTCCTGCAAATGTAAACAAACTTGTTTGTCTGAGCGATTGGCTGAACAAGAAGTAGGACTGAGTGGACTTACAGGCTCTAAAATTTTACATTGTTTTATTTTTGAATGCAGGTTTTTTTGTACATAATTCTACATTAGTAAGTTCAACTTTCATGATAAAGAGATTGCACTACAGTTCTTGTATTAGGTGAATTGAAAAATACTATTTCTTTTGTTTTTTTTTACAGTGCAAATACTTGTAATCAAAAATAAATATAAAGTGAGCACTGTACACTTTGTATTCTGTGCTGTAACTGAAATCAATATACTTGAAAATGTAGAAAATGTCCAAAAATATTTAAATAAATGATATTCTATTATTAATCGCGATTAATTTTTTTAATCGCTTGAGAGCCCTCCAAGTTATATTTAATTTTAGCTGCTTTAACTAGAGTTTAACAATGAAACCTAGATAGCGGTTTACATAGTCAGAGAGCTGTAAGGCAGTATATTCATTTAAGGATGTTCTTTTGAACTACATAAAAAAAAATATAGCAGACTCAGATAGTGTCTGTGACTTAACTTTGTTCAATTTTTCTTTCTTCACTTGGTCCGGGGCTGAGTTTGACAGATTTATGGCCTGATCCTACCAACACTTATGCCCGTCAGTAGTCTCACTGAATTCTGTAGAGTTACTCACATGCACGAGTGGATTGTAAGCTCTTTGGGGCAGGGACTGTCTCTTTGGTCTGTGTTACACAGCACCTAACACAATGGGGTCCTGGGCAATGACTGGGGTTCCTAGGTGTGACTCCAACACAAATAAAAAAAATAGTAATAAATATAAAGTAGCAAGGTTGTAGAGTTCAATGGCTTTGCTATTGGCAATGAGCCAAGAAATTTTTCACACAAGTTATTTCACCTTCATGCTATCTCTGCATTCTCTTCTATGTCATAATTATACTTTGACTAATAAAAATACAATGAATGCTGTTTTTGATAAGAAATTATTATATATTTATTCAAGAGCCATCTAATTGCATTGAGTGCCAAGCTATTGGCTCCTGAATGACAATATACTTTTTTACTAATTACTACCTTAATGTTTTCCAGAAAGCTTGCTTTATTTGATGAATGGAATTCTTTAGCAGTTTATGTATCTATGGACAATACTGTGGTCATTGAAGACATCAGTAAGTTACAAACACTGGCTCTCACTTAAATTAGTTTCTTATTTGCCAAAGTACCCTAAACAAATTTAGTTAATAGAAAAAAATGCATTTTGGGCTTTAATTATTACCCTAGCTGAGAAATAAGGTGTGTGTGTGTGAGAGAGAGACAGTTCTTGGGATGCGCAGTACTGCGCATTACCTTGTTACCCCCTCCTCTAGCAAGACGTATCGTTATCCGAGAAAGCTTCCGGTGCTAAATGTTGTTTGGTTAAACATGACTAGGAGATGATAATTTACTAGATGAAGTTATCGACCTGAGCCCTAATGTCTTTTTGTTAACCTGGCACCCTAATCTGTGCCTACCAGGATTACTTGTAATTATACAGCTACAACGTACACACTACCCTCCTTAAAAGCTGGGACCTTTTGGAAGAAAGATCTCTGAAAAAGCATCTTAATTTTCCATTCATTTGGAACATTTATAATATAGTCCTTGATGAATTGACAAGTCTCTCCTCCTTGCTCCCACAGAGAAAATGTGTTGGTCCCCTCCTCAGAGCAGCAGTGCTGCACGTGGCACCATGCTCTCACACAGAAGTGCTCTCAGTCAAAACAAGAACACAGCAGGGTTTTGCTCAGGCTGGAAACCTCTCTTGCTCATTATACCTCTACGACTGGGGATAAATCACATCAATCCGATTTATATTGATGCTTTTAAAGTAAGTCGCTGTCCCTGAAATGATTGTTATGCTGCATGTCATTTACAAACAGTTTAGATATCTGTGATACCAATATACAGGACAACTAAAATTTCATTTTTCCCCTTTGAATCTCTAGGAATGTTTTAAGATGCCACAGTCTTTGGGGGCATTAGGAGGGAAACCAAATAATGCCTACTATTTCATAGGATTTTTAGGTAAGGAAAAAAATAATTACAGATAAGTTGATGGGCTAAGGAACTGGGCCTGGTCTGAAGAAACATCAGGAAGTGTAAAACTGAAGCTGCTGGGAAACGTAGTTAAGGAAAGAGATAAGGAGAGTAGGATTATAATTAGATAACTAATAATTAGATAACTCCAGAATAATACACTATGATCTTTTATAGGAAAGGTAGAGTGAAGTTGGGTATAGAAATAAGTAACAACATCAGCAAGAGTCATGTGATATGAAAGGCTAGTTGAATAGTATTTGGCAAATCTATTAGACAGATGTTACTAGCATGTAGTCATGTATTGTTTCCTAATCTGTAGTCTTACCTTTTATTCTTTTGCTTCACTTTTTTTCTTCAAGTGGTATAACTCAGCATTTTCCCTGATTAAAGCTCATTTGTTTGATTTCTGCTCACTTCTCTAACTTCACTAGATCTTGCTGTCTTTTAATGCTAGCCTTGCATCAATGTATTTTATCACTTGCCTTTCCTTTGTCACTTATAGTAACATTCAGTGCTAGACTTAATCTTTTTTTTAAATTTCACCCCATTTGACTTGTTATGAATAATTGCTCTCTATTTATGACCTATCAGTCCATTTTTCGATAAAACCTGTGGTATTTTTATTCAGACCTCATTGTTTCAATCTCTCAGTGAGTCTAATATGAAACAGTGTTGAATTCCTAACTGAGTTCTAGATTATATTTGTGGTCATCCTGTGACCTGTTGAATGGCAGAATTTACATTTTAAAAGTTTTAAATGTTACATTAGCTCTAGGAAATAAAGGTCAAAGTAAAAAGCCTTACAAATCACCACAGTAAGCTATACCAGATATGGTGCCACACTCTTCCTGAATTTCCCAATTTCAGAACACATAGCTAGCAAAAGTCTAATCAATCTTAATCATGATGATGATCTAAATTCTATCTTACAAGTCCAGCTTCAGTGGTATTACAAATGATTAAATATATTTTACCTGCACAGGAAACGAGCTCATCTATTTGGACCCTCACACCACTCAGATTTTTGTAGATTTGGAGGAAAACGGTATGGTTGATGACCAGAGCTTCCATTGTCAGCAGGCCCCACATCGAATGAAGATCATGAATTTGGATCCCTCCGTAGCATTAGTAAGTGTTAGGAAGAAATGTAGCATGAACTTCTATTACAAAACTGCACATAAGTACTGATAAGGGTAGTTGTGCATTTGCCTGAGCAGAATCATGAATGACTACAAAAAAATTTCCACATATGCTGAATTTATCCTCATTGATAAACTATACAGTAATTTTGCTGAGATTAATGTTCCCTCCAGTAGGAAACTGGATATTTGAATGGGGGTGATAATTATTTTTGGTAATAGAGAAGCTCCACTTTTTGCAGAGCCATTTTAGTGTAGTGGTTGAAGCAGGGAATTTAATCAGAATTCCTGGGTTCTTTCTCTCCTTCATGTCTCAGTTTACCAATCTATTAGTAGTTACAATCCAGGATACTTTACAGGGATATTACAATTCTTATTGACCCTAATTCTGATCTCCGTCCAGTTACACCTACTATTGACACCAGTAAGGTTACTCTTCATTCTCCTCCTCTGTGTAAGATCAGAATTGGCCCAATGTTTGTAAAGTTCCTGAATGAAAGGTGATGTAAACATATGTTATTAATAATACCACTTTTAGCAGGAAAGTATCTGCTGTTAGTGAGTAACATTTAACTATGTAAATGTTCAAACCATGAAAAAGCACAACCAACCAGTCCATTCAGTAATGTAACTGAGTCTGATATTCACAATACAGCCACTCTTGGAAGTGTCATGTATATGGCAGTTCATCCCCAGTGGCAGGTTAAACTTGCAGCCAGATGGACAATTGTGGTAAATTGGCATGGCCCTATTGACTTCAGGGGAGCTGCAATTATTATTATTTGCATTCTGATGGAGCCTACAGGCCTCAAATTGAGATTTGCTTTAGGCACTGTACAAACATAATACAGTCATTGCCCTAAAGGGTTTATAATCTAAATAGATAAAACAGATGAACAGGAGAGGGGGGAAAGAGCAGAGCATTCAGTATGATGAGTGGCAAATGTCGTGTCAGTTCCTTGTTTTTTCAACTTTTTTTCCCTGTGGCCTCCGTTTTACTCCAGTTCAGGATCTGGTCCTTAGTCTGATACATATTTTGGGTCTTACACATGATGTTAGTATGTGCTACTGCAAAACAGTGGCTTAATTGCTAATATTGCATGTAACTTGCAGAGGAAAATCTCTTTGTTTTTCCCCCCTTCAGGGCTTCTTTTGTAAAGAAGAAAAAGACTTTGATAACTGGTGTAGTCTTGTACAAAAGGTAACAATGGGATATTCTTTTAATTTGATCTGCTTGTGTGTGTGTGTGTGTGTGTGTGTATCAGAGCTAATTATAACATGACTGACAATCTGTGGTAGAGCTTGAGAGAAACATCTACCTTCCATGCATGTTTCTGATTGAAGAAATTCACTATATATAGATCTGTAAAATGATGACCTTTAATGAGGGTTGCACAAAGTATAACAGGATTCCATTTCATATGGGCATAATTGATTTATTATTATTATTTGCCTCTTGTAACTGTTTTGACTGACCAGCCAAGTAGATCTGTTGTTGGACTTTCCATTAATATGATACCATTTTTTAAGAGAAAGTGCTTTATCCTCAGGAGATTCTGAAGCAGCAGGGTCTTCGGATGTTTGAGTTAGTTCAAAATCATCCAGCCCATTGGCCTCCTTTCATACCTCCAGCAAAACCAGAAGTGACGACGTCAGGAGCAGGTACAGTATTGACTTGAGTGGACTGTAGTGCAGCAATATGTTCCTCGCTTTACCGGTAGGAGAAATAATCCCAGGTGGAGCAGCTATGCTTTGCTAAGTGTCTTTTATGCTCAATGTGATTAGCTAATCCATTCGTTAATACTGGTAGCAACTTGAACACCAGATTTATCTACAAAGGCTAAATGTGATTTCCAGCATATCTTGTCCTAAAATTTCTTCTAAAGTGAAAAGCAATAGGCATGTCTGTTAATATTGTTTTCATTTTTGTTGGCAGAACTTATTGAATCTACCGATAAACTGCTTGAATTGGAAGAAGAATTTGAAATCCTGAGTGTATGAAGGAAGCTATGGTGATTTTTCTGTGTTGAACATATTGCATTGACTTCAGACAAACAGCCATTCTAGCCCACAAGTGCCTGAAATTATGGACAACAGAGCACAAAACCATAGCAGCACCCAAAACTCAGACAGTGACAGTTTAACAAGATCTTCCCTGGGTGGAAAGAGCAGCAAAGATCCCATTGGCAGACACGTAAAGGGAATTTCTGCTTCCAGCATGCATCTTATTTGAAGACAAATGGACCTTTTGAGATGAAGGCAAAAACAATATATTAAAGTAAAGACTATGGTATATCACTGGGCTCTACCTTTGAAGAAAGGGATGACTCAAATGGATATTCTTGCTCTCTTATGCAATTGTGTAGTCCTTTAAAAAAAGCAAAATGGCGTTGAGTTAAGGGAGGATGTTTACTTCTGTTCCCTCCTGTGGGCTGCATCATAGGAATAAATTCATCATCTTGTTTAAAAGATCAACTGGATCAGGAGAAAATTGTTTCCTTGTTAAATATTTTAACATGTATTTGAGCAACCACACTTTTTATTACAAAAATGTTTCTGTAAAAGGAACTATGTCTAATGTATACATTTGGAACAGCCTTCCTGTTTCTGGGAGACCTAAAACAAACAGGAGACTCAATTCGTTGATATAGATCACGATCACTGCTATAGTTACGACCTATTTCACCTTGACCTTAAAACTTAGGTTGATGATTTTTGTTAAAACAAGAAGTCAAAGGTGGTTTTTTTTAAACTGTATCTTATTTATTTTAAAATAGATTTATTTACACAAGTTTCTCTGTAACAGCACTTTATCTGTGCATCTAATAAATTTCTTAAGCTTTTCATAGGCTACTTGCTATAGTTTGTGAATTTGCTTGCACAGACCATAAATATAAAACAAAAAGTTATCCCAAACTGATGATACACAAATTATTTAAGGTCCCTGATTCTGCCTTGTTACCTTATCAATTCTATTTTGGTAAAAGTACCTTAGATATACAAGTCCCTAGCAGAGTTATGTAGTTAGATATTTATTTAAACTGAGGATATCTCTAGTAGCTTTGAGAACAAGGGTTCAGAAATATCAAGCCCTTACTGTGCACAAGGGCTTTTAATGAATTCATGAGTCGCATTTTATGTTTCCTAAAAACACAATTCCCATCTGGATGAGGCCTGGTATGGTGCAGTTAACATGAAAATCTCCCAATTTCATTCTTCACAAATAGATGAGAATACTGGGCCTAAGCAGGAGATGTGCCGAGTACTTGCAAAACCCAAGTGAAATGAGATGCTGGTGCTTAGCATCTGCAGAACAGGAAAACATGACTTTCAAACAAAAATAATTACCCAGACCAACAGTTAATGTCTTGTTTGCCTTTATTAACCACAGTTTGGAAACTGAACATTAACAAAAGGAGATGTCACCGCACGCTGTTTTAAAAAACAACAACTGTGATGTCTCCCCAACTAGTATTCATTTAAGACCATAACTATGCTTGGTGCCTTCCAGACAAAAGTGAAAATGCAGCCCCTGCTGTGAAAAGCGTACATTCTAAAGGATGACATCTACACAGAAAAGGGAAGTACCCGCTAGATGACTGAGCAATGAAGCTAGGCATATATCATCCTCAGTCCATTCTTTTTTTTTTTATTGCCCTCCTGTTATCTTTCATTACGTAAACACAACTCAGAGGTGAAATCTGAAGTTGACACTTTTCCAGGAAGCCTGTAGTGAGCAGCAGCTGGAAGGAGAGGGGGTAAATACAGGGTTGATTGGAAGAAGGTCTGGAGATAGGAGTGGAAGAAGATCAGACTGTGGCCCTGATCTTGCAAAGACATGCTTGTGCTTAACATTACCCATCAGGGTGAAATCCTGGCCCTACTGAAGTCAATGGAAGTTCTGTCACTGAAAGCAATGAGATTACACACAGTGCATAAAGCTAAACAAGTACATAGACCCTGCTCCTGAAAAGACATATGTGTATTTCAGTCATGTGCATCCAGAGCAGAACCCGCTTTTCCTCACCCCTCCCCTCAACATCCAAACAAATAAGCTGGTACCAGACCTGGTGCTTCTCCTGCTGGCACCTAATGAGTAGAATGGGTGACAAATAAAAATGTTTTCCACAAATATTTGATCAAATTTTTAAAACAAACTGGAGTTATTTGAGTTTTACTGACACCACTATTTGCAGAAAGTGAAATTCAAAGTCAAATACCATGCGAATTATCGGAGCCCTCCCAACTAAAACACAGCTCAGGTATCTGACATGGATGCATCATCAAACTATGGAGTGAAAAAACAAGATGTTTGTTGAATAATTCAAAGTTGTGATTGATATTTTGCAAGCAGAAAGAGGCTACATCAAAGAATAAATTGTTGACTGCAAGTTATTGGCTCAGCTCCAATTGGGCTCAACCATGCAAGGGTCTTGAGTACCCTGACCACGATCCAGCAAAACTCTTAAGCTTGTGAGTAGTCCGATTGAAATCAATGAGCCTACCTGTGTTTTTAAATTCAACCACGTGCTTTAGTGGATCAAGGTCAGAGTTCTAAGTACCCTGCTAGACTAAATCAATAATAAAGAAGAGTGATTAAGTCTTTGTCCTGGTTCAGTAGCAACTTTCTGTAGAGTTTTGTCTTTCAATTAAAAAAAAAAAGGAATTTACAAGGCCCTCACTTCAGATCCTCTAAAATGCTGATACCTCTGGGTATCGCCAACCTCACTGTAGAAAGAAGCTGAAATTAATAGCTTTAGCCTTAGTTAATTCTCAACATGGACATATTGTATTTATGGCTTTCCCTTAGACTATACAGGAAAATAGAAATTGAGTACTACTGATTGTAATTATAACCTGAAGGAACTGTGTGACTATTTAACAGTGCATTAGAAATACAGTAATGTGTTTTTTAACTAGTAGAAATAAAGCCCAGTGGATGAGGAATACAATACAGGTGATTTTAGCTGTAAAAAAAAATGTACATCCAACAACTGCTTGTTTCTGTGTTTCCATAACCTTGAATGCTAAATAATAAGGCTTCTACATTTTAAAATATACACAATTTGAATACTTACAAAAAAAACTGTTCCAAAGCTACCTCGGAAAGATGATTTCATACGTACTGTAATAGACCCAGGCCAGTTAGGTACAGCAGATTAGTAGAATGCAGATATACTGGCCACTGGATAAGCAGTTTTCTGTTCCCTGACTGACCAGAGCGGGGGCTGCTCCAGGCTAGGGTGGATGCCTGACTCTAATTAACCAGGTGAGGCTGTTAAGCTAATGTGAACACCTGACTCTAATTAAGGCCCCTCTGATACTGTAAATGGGCTCACTACCATCAGGCTGGGGGAAAAGAAAAGGGAGCCAGAGGAAAGGAAGTGCGGCTGAAGGGCTGGCTAATGAAGATACTCTCAAGCCACTGGAAGGGAGCCCTAAGGTAAGGGTGAGGAAGGCATTAAGAGAGAGAAGTGGGAGAGCTGTGCGGAAGTGGCCCAGGGAAGTGTAGCAGCTCTGGCGGTAAAAGGTTGGCTGCCAACAGCTACTGCCACTAGGGTCCCTGGGCTGGAACCTGGAGTAGAGGGCAGGCCTGGGTTCCCCCCAACCTGCCACTACAGAAAGAACCTCCTGGGAAGGGAAGACAGGCCCCTATCAGGACAAGAGGCTAAACTGTTCTTGAATAAGCCCGTAGGGACAACAGAGACTGTGGGAGTTCTCTCACCAACCTCCTTGCTGGCTTATGATGAAAA